CAGGCAGTAGACCTGGAACCTTCGGTGGAGCCCGCATGGGGCCACGAGGCGCTGTATTGGGCGTGTGAAAAATACCACATTGGGTTTGTGGGACGCATGCGGGCGGTTCCACTGGGGGCTTCGGTGGAGTTCCCTATGGGGCCACGAAGCGCCTTGCCGGGTAAGTGAAAATGCCAAATTGGATGTGTGGACGCATGCGGGGGGTCCCACTGGCAGCTTCGGTGGAGCTCCCTATGGGGCCACGAAGCGCTGTACTGGGCGGGTGACGTTGGGCTTTCGGGACGCATGCGGGCGGTCACGCTGGGTGCTTCGGCGGAGCTCCCTATGGGGCCACGAAACGCTGAAGTGCGCGTGCAGGACGCATGCGGACGGTAGCACTAGGACCTTCGGCGGAGCTCCCTATGGGGCCACGAAACGCTGAAGTGTGCGTGGGGGACGCATGCGGACGGTAGCACTAGGACCTTCGGTGGGGCTCCCTATGGGGCCAGTAAGCGCTGTATTGGGTGGGGTGGGGACGCATGCGGGCGGTAGCACTGGAGGCTTCGGTGGGGCTCCCTATGGGGCCACGAAGCGCTGTACTGGGTAGGTGAAACGCAGGGGGCAGGGAGGAGGGGGCCACGAAGCGCTGTACCGGGTGGGGGGGACGCATGCGGACCGTAGCACTGGCACCTTCGGTGGGGCTCCCGATTGGGCCACGAACCGGTATAATTGGTTGATGAAACGCAATGAGGAGTGAGGGGGGGCCACGAAACGCTGTACTGGGTGTGGGGGACGCATGCGGACGGTAGCGTTGGGACCTTCGGTGGCGCTCCCTATGGGGCCACGAAGCGCTGTACTGTGTGGGTGAAGCGCAGGGAGGAGGGAGGAGGGGCCACGAAACCTGTACTTGGTGGGAGGGACGCATGCGGACGGTAGCGCTTGGACCTTCGGTCGGGCTCCCAATGGGGCCGCAAGGAGGAGGGGGAGGAGGGAGGAGAGAGGGGGGAGGAGGAGAAAGAGGAGGAGAACGCGGGGACCGTTATTTCAAAACGCGGACCCAACACCACAGGATGGTTGGGAAACTATGCAAAAAATTATCCTGGCGAAGGACCCAACCATATGCAATTGTGAACATTGCAATTGTGAATATCTTCTCGGTGGAGCCCCCTACGGGGCCACGAAACGTACGAGGGGTGTGCCGACATGGGTGTGCGGGACGCATGCGGGCACACCCACTTGGGCCTTCGGTGGAGCTCTCTATGGGGCCAAGAAACGTGTGAGGGGTGTGCCGAAATGGGTGTGCGGGACGCATGCGGGCACACCCACTGGGACCTTCGGCGGAACTCCCTATGGGGCCACGAAACGCGTGAGGGGTGTGCCGAAATGGGTGTGGCTGACGCATGCGGGCGCGGGCACTGGGGCCTTCGGTGGAGCTCCCTATGCAGCCACGAAACGTGTGAGGGGTGTGCCGAAATGGGTGTGGGTGACGCATGCGGGCGCGGGCACTGGGGCCTTCGGTGGAGCTCCCTATGGAGCCACGAAACGTGTGAGGGGTGTGCCGAAATGGGTGTGGGTGACGCATGCGGGCGCGGGCACTGGGGCCTTCGGTGGAGCTCCCTATGGAGCCACGAAACGTGTGAGGGGTGTGCCGAAATGGGTGTGGGTGACGCATGCGGGCGCGGGCACTGGGGCCTTCGGTGGAGCTCCCTATGGAGCCACGAAACGTGTGAGGGGTGTGCCGAAATGGGTGTGGGTGACGCATGTGGGCGCGGGCACTGGGGCCTTCGGTGGAGCTCCCTATGGAGCCACGAAACGTGTGAGGGGTGTGCCGAAATGGGTGTGGGTGACGCATGCGGGCGCGGGCACTGGGGCCTTCGGTGGAGCTCCCTATGGAGCCACGAAACGTGTGAGGGGTGTGCCGAAATGGGTGTGGGTGACGCATGCGGGCGCGGGCACTGGGGCCTTCGGTGGAGCTCCCTATGGAGCCACGAAACGTGTGAGGGGTGTGCCGAAATGGGTGTGGGTGACGCATGCGGGCGCGGGCACTGGGGCCTTCGGTGGAGCTCCCTATGGAGCCACGAAACGTGTGAGGGGTGTGCCGACATGGGTGTGGGTGACGCATGCGGGCGCGGGCACTGGGGCCTTCGGTGGAGCTCCCTATGGAGCCACGAAACGTGTGAGGGGTGTGCCGAAATGGGTGTGGGTGACGCATGCGGGCGCGGGCACTGGGGCCTTCGGTGGAGCTCCCTATGGAGCCACGAAACGTGTGAGGGGTGTGCCGAAATGGGTGTGGGTGACGCATGCGGGCGCGGGCACTGGGGCCTTCGGTGGAGCTCCCTATGGAGCCACGAAACGTGTGAGGGGTGTGCCGAAATGGGTGTGGGTGACGCATGCGGGCGCGGGCACTGGGGCCTTCGGTGGAGCTCCCTATGGGCCACGAAACGTGTGAGGGGTGTGCCGAAATGGGTGGGGTGACGCATGCGGGCGCGGGCACTGGGGCCTTCGGTGGAGCTCCCTATGGAGCCACGAAACGTGTGAGGGGTGTGCCGAAATGGGTGTGGGTGACGCATGCGGGCGCGGGCACTGGGGCCTTCGGTGGAGCTCCCCATGGAGCCACGAAACGTGTGAGGGGTGTGCCGAATTGGGTGTGGGTGACGCATGCGGGCGCGGGTACTGGGGCCTCCGGTGGAGCTCCTATGGGGCTACGAAACGCTGTACTGGGTGGGCGAAACGCAAGGAAGAGGGGGAGGAGGGAGGAGGAGGGGGAGGAGGAGGAGAGGAGAGGAGACGCGGGGACCGTTTCTTCAAAACGAGGACCCAACACCACAGGTTGGATGGGAATAAACGAACATCTTGGAAGCATAATGCCCAGACTATCTTTTGGCTATTTTTGACTGTTCCTCCTGTAGAGGGACAGGCCCGACTGAACATTGGGCGGAAAGCGGGGGGGGAGGGGGGGGTCTGGCTTAGGACCCCTGCTTGACGCGAGTGCTTGCGACAGTCCGTCCAGCATGGGGGAGACCCCGCCTGCTTGGAACAGGCACAACAAACAGTCAAGATCATCTATGAACGGGCCCAAGGACACACACATAAATACACACAAATACCAGGATTCCCCACATTTTCCCATATGTTCTGGGTGTTTGTCTTCCCCCCCCCCACTCCCCATCTTTCCCCATATTTTCCTGGGAGTCGACGATTCACTGTGTCTGTGTGTGTTTTTGCCCCCTCCCGACTCTGCTCCATGGGCGGGGGGGGGGACGGGGGTGCGAGGGCCCGCGCCGATCGGCGAAGCAGAGCACAAGACAACGAGCACCCATAGCGCACGGCTGCCCTGGTGGCGCCGCATAACAGGGGATGCGTCGACCCCTATCCCAGGCTCCGTGAGGTTTTCGAGAGGATCAACACTTTGGGGCCCAACCCTGGGATATACGAGGGGGGGGCGTCCATCCTCGACAGGGGTGCGTCCGAATAGCCCCCTCGGGATGTATCCCAAGATTCCCCCCCTTTTCCGAGCGACCAAACTTTTCTGGCGGAAGTCGGGGATTGGGGGAGAGAAAAACGGCGCAGCTCCCGAGGGGGGGGCGGCGCGGGGCAGACGCGCCGAGAGCGTGCGGCCGCCGGGGCGCGGCGCCAACGGCACGGCGCAGGAGCACGCGCACGCAGGGGAGGCGCGGGGCCCCGCGTGCGAGGCGGGGGCCGGTGGCCCGGCGGGCGGTGGACGCGGACAGAGCCCAAGGGCTCCCAGCTTCGCGCCGCGCGCCGCGCGAGGCGCGAGGCGCGGAGAACTTCGCGCTCTCGCGCCGCCTCCCAACAGAGAAGAGGAGGAGGGATCGGAGCCGAACCGCGAAGCGCGAATCACTTCGCACCCTCGAAGGCGCCCTTGGATCCTGGCCCCCCGGCGCACGAATCTATATCCACCTCCGCCGCCTGTGGAGGTGCGCGAAGATCGATCCCCCGGGCGGTGGCTACGGTTGGGTCTCCGCCTCGGAGGGTGGCAGCAGGGGTGGGAGTGTTTCTTGGTTTGAGCTCAACGGCTCAGTCTTCACCAAACTGCATGACGCGGGAGACGCCACCCTTCCACATTCCACTAAAATGGAACTGCCGCCACACGACGAAACACAGGCTGAAACATCCCTGGTTGAGTGTTTCTGGTCCCTTTCCTCGGCTTCGGGGCCCAATTGCTCACCGGCTTCCCTATCATCGTCATCATCATCATCACCACCACCACCATCATCATCATCATCATCACCATCACCATCACCATCACCATCACCATCATCAGCATCAGCATCAGCATCATCATCAGCATCAGCATCAGCATCGACATCATCATCATCAGCAGCATCAGCATCAGCATCAGCATCATCATCATCATCATCAGCAGCAGCATCAGCATCAGCATCAGCATCAGCATCAGCATCATGATCAACCGCCAAATGTTGATGCGTATCGCGGTATGTCGAGAGAAGGCCGCCGCGCAACCAGCGGGATCGGTGCAGCTTGTCTCCCCATCGAGGTCGTCCCGAGAAGCAGCGGGCTCGGTAATTACAGCTCCTTTCCCCCCTGCAGGGGAGCGGGCCACCCGTGGGGCGAAGCAACGGGGCAACCACTCGTGGTGGCCGCCGAGCGGTGGCTGCCGCGGTAGCCCTCGAAAGCACCAAAGGTTGAGCAGGGACCGACCGTCCCGGCATTCCTATAGGCCTACCACGACATTTTCTCAGGACCCAAACATGTTCTAAGAACAAAAGCCATGTTCTTAGAACTTAAGCACGATGTATTAAAACAAGACGGTCCCAGCCAGAACTGTTCGAAGAACATGTTGTGGAAACCACAGAAGTGTTCTTAGAACATTGCTTGGTAGGCCCAGAGGCACGCCAGGACGCTTCGCCACTGCTTGATAAGGAGGAGGCGAAGACCTCCGCGGCCGCGACAGCGCCACCACTTTTTAACCGCCGGCCGGCAGGCCCGCGCGGGGCGCGCGCCGCCGCCGGCTGCGGCCGCCACGGCCGATCGCGCGCTCAGGCCGCTGGCGCGGGCCCGTCCGGGGCAGCCAGCGCCTGCCGGTAGCGCCAGGCGCCCTGCGGCCAGGCAGGCAGGCGGCGGCGGCGGCGACCACGACGACGAACCCTGACCCCCTTCCAGCTGGGATCAAGTCGCGACGGGAGTTTTGTCCCCATTCGCGGCCTCTGGGGGCCCCTCACCGGGCCTCGGGACCGCGAGAAAACGGCCCAGGGCGAAAGCCGGCCCCGGGTAAGGGGGGAGGCAGCTTCGAAGCACCCCCCCTCCTTTCCGGCCACGAGAAAGGGGGAGGGGGGTAACTTCCGAAGCCCTCCGCCCCCCCTTTCAAACGGGAGCCTGGGCTGACCTCCGGCTCCGAGAAAGGAGGGAGGGGCGGGGGGTAGCCTCTAAGCCTCCCCCCCCCCTTACAGCCACGAAGAGGAGGGGAGGAGGGGGGGATCCCAAAGCCACCCCCCCGTTGGCGGATCGGGGAGGGGGGAGGGGCGGAGCCCCAGGCCAGGCCCCCCCCCCAGCCTGTCGGTCGCTGCGGGCGCGGTCTATCAGACCTCCGGAGGTCCACGCTGTGCAAGAAACAGGACGTCGGGGGCCTGGGAAGACGGCCTCGACTGCGCCAAACGACGACGCCGCCGACCACCACCACGGCGTCGCGGCTGCCAATGCCGCCTCCCTGCGCCGCGAAGGGAAACGCATACACCGCGCGATGCCTTTTGCCACTGTGGGCCTCCAGGGGTGCCAGCAAGGCTTCGCGCTGCCGACGGGTAAATCACCGGTCGGTCGCCGCGGCGTGCGCAGGACAGGCGAGCACGCCAATGTGGAGGGGCCCTCGCTGGGCCACAGGGCCGTCGGAGAAGTTGGCGCGAGGGGGAGCTAGGGTTAGGTCGGGCTCAATAGGCGGATTTTGGACGACGATTCAAACAATCCTGTCAGAATGCAAGAGTAATGGAAAAATGCCAGAACAATCGTTCCAATATAATTTTTAACAAAATGTTGGACTTTCCTTCTGTAGGAGGACACGCCCGACGTAAAGCTAGGGGTCGAAAGCTCCTCGGGTCAACGCTGCGAAAAGAGAAAGCGCGGCGTCGGAGGTCAGCCGAGCCCCAGGGGGAGGAGGACGGAAGCGAAGGAGGTGCAGAGGGGGGGAGAGTGGAGGAAGGAGGCGGTGAGAGACACACAGGAAGCCGGAGGAAGAGGAGGAGGAGGAGGAGGAAGAGGAGGAGGAGGAGGACGATGACGATGATAATGAAAAGAGAAGAAGGAGGAGGAAGGAGGAGGAGGAGGAGGAGGAGGAGGAGGGAGGAGGGAGGAGGGGGAGGAGGAGAGGAGGAGGAGGAGGAGGAGAAGAGGGAGGAGGAGGAGGAGTGGAGGAGGACGACGACGATGATAATGAGGAGGAGGAGGACGATGATAATGAGGAGGAGGAGGAGAGGAGGAGGAGCAGGAGGAGGAGGAGGAGTGACGATGGTGATGGGAATGCTGCAAAGGGGGGTCAGGCGGAGGGAAACGGAGAAGAGGCGCGGGGGAGCCGCAGCGCCGCTGGACGGGACAGGGCCCCTCCGCCCGCCTCCGCCCCCTGGCGCTGTGCGGCCCTGTTGTGCCCCCCTCTGCGGCGCACCCGCCTCGGCCTGCCTGTGCGTGTGTGCGTGTGTGCACACTTCACACGTATATGCGCATCAACCTCTCTCTCTCTCCCATTATCTCTCTTTCCCTCTCTCCTTCTCTCTCTCTCTCGCTTTCTCAATGTCTCTCTCTCTCTCTCTGTTTCGCGCTCTCTCTCTTTCTCTCCTCTCTCTCTCTCTCGCGCAAGAGGCAGGACAAAAGGATGGGCGCCCACGGGTTAGGAAGGAGGGGCAGGATGGAATTGGGTCACACAAGAAAGAGCAACCAGGGTAAGCCAAAGACACGGGGGGGCGAGACCGACAGTAGCGGGGGCAAGGGATGGGCACAGGGGAAGGCAGAAGAAAGAAGCGGGATTCGTTGGGCTGTGGCGGAGCCTCTCGGGGACGTCAGCTTTAGTCGTCAGACTCCGAATCGACAGCGCGTGCCCCCGCCTGCCCTTCTGACACGTGGGGCGACCAATTGGATTTCCAGGGTGACGGTCGAGCTTGAACTTTGAGCTCCTCCGCCGCCCGATCCCGTTGCTGGGACCCTGGGCGGCGAATGGGAATATAGCGAATAAAGCATCGACCTCGCCGTGTTCACTCCCATCTCCCCCTTTCCGCGGAGGAGAAATGCGAGAGCCGCAAGTCCTTCGCGCTCGTTCGCGCGTTTGCTTCCCTGCCCCGGCAAAACCTCCCGGATTGACTGCGCACGGACGGGTCATGACTCAGGCCCGTCTTGGTCGCTCTACAGTGCAAGCGCGGTGACTCATTCTCTGGCGGCCACCCCAAAAGGGCCGCGGTCGGGAGCCACCCCAAGGCCTGCCCCGGCCCCAGGGAATGACCTGTCAACGGCCAACGTCCGCCGACACACCGACTGCGCCCAATCTGGCCCCTGAGCCATCCGTGTTTCGCAGCGCCGCGCTGCGGCCCGGGCGAGGCCTGCAGCCGGCCACGGGGCCTAGGGCCCTCGTGGACCAGGTGCATGCACTACCATGGCGCCTAAAGTCTGGCGGAGGTCCGCGCGCAGCCCACCAGCGATGCTCGCTTCCTTGAGCTGACTCTGCCGCTCGGGCGGGCGGGGGTTCGTGGGAAAGAGCGCTGGCAGAGCCAGGCCGCGACGCGAGGCAAGTGTGGGGGGGGGCGCACGCAAACATGCAACGTGCTTCATCATGTCTGCTGCTCTGTGACATCCCTGCCCGTGCCAAGGCCCGTCCAACTGCTCCGTCAAGCTGATTGCTGCTACATAGCGGTCGTGCCGGCCCATCCGCCATCGACGCCGTGCCCCGCAAACTCCGCCCACCAAAGAAGTCCGCGGCTGGCCCAGCCCCCCTTCCGACCTGAAGCCGCGCGGGCATCTTTGGGCCGTGGCGGAGCCCCTCGGGGGCGTCAGGCGGCGGTTCTAAGACTCCGAATAAACGGTGCGCGCCCCCGCCTTCCTCTATGATGTGGGGCGACCAGTTGGATTTGCAGGGTGGCGGTCGAGCTTGAACCGTGCAACTCCGCCGCCCGATCCCGCCACTGGGGCCCTGGGCGGCGATTGGGAAGATGGCAAATGAAGCACCGACCTCGCCGCGCTGAGTCCCATCTCCCCCCCGACGTCGCTCTCGCTGCCCATCTCCATGCGCGCCCCAGCGTCGCCCCTACACACCAAGAGCTGGAAGGGCACCGCGCGTGCCATGGACAGCGCTGCCCTGCGAACGTGGCCGAAATTAGCCCCCGGCCCCCGCGCGCCAGCGCATAATGCAGCGCAACATGTTTCGATGCGCCCTGCAGTCCGAGAACATGCTGGGCATGTTGCGATGTCGACCCCAAGCAGCACATGCCCCGCCATGAGAACGCACGATGGCGCATCGCGCGGGGCGCGCGCAAAATCAGAAGGCCCCGCGTCGAAGGCCCCGCCTCCATTGCGCTGCATGCGAGAGGCGCTATCGGCGCGCGAAAGGTCCACCCACCAGACGCGCGCCGCTCGCGGACTACGGGGTCGTCCAACCCCTCGCGGAACAACGCGTCAGCTGGGTTGTTCTTGTTCGACGCGTGCTCGATCCGCGCGCGGCGGCCCAGCAAAGTCAGAATTGCGTGCGCCTGCAAGGCCAAATTCCCCGCGGTGACTGTTGGGGATCGGGCCTTCACCATCGCCGCGGCCGCGGCCGCGCAGTCGATCCACCATGGCACATCCCAGCCGCGAAGCTCTTCAAGAGACGCGCAAACGACGAGGACGCCGCTGTGCGACTCGGCTTGGCTGAGGATGATTGCCTGCTTGCTCCGCATCCCCCTGGCCTCTGGCGCAGCGCCCCACGCGGCGACGCGCGCAGCGCCGCTGGGCGCGAGGAGTTCGGCGCCCAAGCGCGCGCTCACCATCGGCGGGGGCGTCGGTGTGGAGCGCCAGGGGCGGCGCAACTGGGCGCTGAAGGTCCGCGAACCGATCGGGCACGCGCGCGGCCGCAGCAGAAGCGCAGGGCAGCGCTTCGCGCGAAATACTGCCGCCTTGCAACTGCTCACCCTCGCCCCAATATTGCATGGCAATTAAAGCACGCATGGCGCCGCGCATGAGCCCGCCGCCGAGGGGGGGTCCATCCCTGAGGCGAAACCTCGGAGCTTCGCCGCCCGGCCAGAAGTGAGCCAGCCTGCGCGCGCCGCCCCTCGAACATCTCTACCAGTCGCTCTCGACCCAGAAGTCTAGGTCCCCGCGCCGCGGACATGGGCCAAGGGGTTCTGCACAAGTCGGGGGGACGCCTCAAGAAGGTAAACATGCAACTCGGCGGTTGCCGCTTGCTATCACAATGCCGAGTGCCCATATTGACGGCGCGCAGACGAACGACGCTGCCCCCCGCTCCCGGTGCACCGACTCGGCAGGCCCTCTCCGCACTGGAACTGTCGTCGGAATAATGGCCGGCGAGCATCAGGAGCAAACGCCAGTTCGTGGCCGCGGCGAATCTTGCCGCCCCAGAAAACTGGTTCACTGCCACGCCAAGACCGAAGGGCAGGCAACGGAGGCGACTGCACTTCCACGTCCTGGTCGCCAGGTCCATGAGGGCTACGACGGCAAGGCCTGCACGTTCTTTGCCGGGCCAAAGCTGTCGGAAGCTCTCCCGCCCAGGCTTCCTAGGCGCCGTGGGCGCGGACGAGGCTGGCCCTCCACCAGTCCGATTGGCGAAAGCTCCGGCGAGAGCGCGTAGCAGGATTAAGATGAACGCGGACGGGATGCGCACAACTGTCTCGCTAACGCTGGACAGCGCATGTGTCCGAGAGCCTTTGCCACCGTCGATGGGCCGCCACTTGCCCAGTTGCCAAAGGCAATGTCGAATCGGCAGCCCCCATCTCCCGACTCCGAACTGTGGGTCCATCTCCGCGCGGTCGAGACATGGCCCCACAATCCCATCTTTGATCTCGTCTTGCGCCAACTCGTATATCGCGCAGGCATGCTTGGACGGAGCGAGCGGTTCGGGCCTCGACCGCGTCGA